GAACTGCTGACCTTAAGGTTCGCAGCCCGATTCGAGCTGTAAATGTTACCCTACCAGTAATTAAGGGATCTCCTACTTCCTGTCTCGGTAAATGTCCCTGAATATTTCTGCCTGTCCTCAGAATGTATCACTCAAAACCTACAATAAGTACAAGGAACCTTGAAAATGTTCATGGAATAATTCCATTATCTATTCATTCCATCTTTTCCATGAACATTTTGAAGCTCTTCATATATCAGCCATTTTTCTTCTCTTTTATTTCAATTTTTTCTTTCAGTGTTGCCCACCTAAAGGTCACTCACCCCTGCCACTGCTGCATGGACTGCTTCCATCTATAGCTGGTGATGCTCTGCCCCAAGTCCCAGAAACCACCAATTCATTACTGTATCCCACTGTCCTGAGATGGTTTTGCCCTCTGCCTCACTCACATTCTTTGTCATGAGTTCATTAATTCATTCAATAATTATTTTATGATTGCCTACAGGTGTCAGGTGTTGCACTGCCTTCATGAGCATTGTATACAAGAAAGGAAAAGAGGCAATAAATGGGTAAATTACAATACAATTTCTACAAAGTCTAGAAGCATTGGCTAAAAAGACTTAATGTCATTAAGTACATCTTCAATCTGTAAGAAAAAAATATTAACCATGTTCTGTAGTTTTCTGTTGCTGCTGTAACACTGATACCACAGTGGGTGGTTTTAAAGAATAGGATATATTTTCAAAGTCTGAATTCAGAATATAGCTCTATACCAGGGTGGTGGACCCTTTTAATTTTTGTCTATTTCAGCTTCTAGTAGTCAGTGTTTGTTGGAATTCCTGGGCTTTTAGATTCATCCTTATCCTTTATCATCAGATAGCATCTGCTCCCCCCCCCACCCCTCACCCCATCATATATGCTTCCTCTGTGTCAGTGCTCTTTAAAAAACTCAACCTACATCCATATGGCCTCCTTAAGCCAACACAGGAACAGGGATTAGGATTCCAACACACCATTTACCACAAGTTTGGTTAGAACCTCAAGGTCAGTGATTCAAACTCACCAGTTACTCCTCAGAAACCCTATGTAGGGTTGCTATGAGTCACAACTCCATGGCACTTAACAACAACAGTTCAATCCATAAGACAGTGTTTGCAGACTTTATGACTGCTCTGCACAATATGATGAGTGGTATGATGGGCAAAGGATGGGGTAAAATGGAAGCAGAGAAAACAGACACTTATTCTGATGTGGTGCTCTAGAATCAGCACTAGAATGCAAACCACAAGTTCAAACCCACCGGCTATTCCTCAGAAACTCTATACAGGGTCACTATGAGTCAGAATGGATTCGATTGACAGGATTTAACAACAACATTATAACCTCAGGGATTAGGGAAGGCAGCCTGTAAGAAGAGACAACTACACTAAGACTTGGAGGATGGGCTAAGAATTGGCTTCAATAGAGGGAGCATGGTGGGGTTGCCGTCAACAGGATCCCATGGTCAGTCTTACATCTCCATCAAGGTGCTGACTATGAAGGCTCCAAGGCGACTTAGTCAGTGCTCTCCAGGGCTTTCTGCCCAGGCCCTCTCTCTCCCTGGGATGTTTCTATGAGTACCTGTGCATTGGAATCAACTCAATGGCAGTGGCTCAGTTTTATTAGCAGGAGACCAGGGTCTCTGAGTAGCATAAATGGTGAAGTGCTTAGCTACTAACAAAAAGGTTAGCAGTTTGAATCCATCTAGAGGTGCGTTGGAAAAATGCCTGGCAATATACTTCCCACATATCCCAGCTACTGTAAATCCAATAGAACATAGTTCTACTCTGAAACACATGGCACTGCCGTGAGTCAGAAACAGCAGGGTGGCAACTAGCTTGAAAAGCAAGCTAGAGCTCTATTCCTAAAGAAAAAAAAGAAAAAAAAAAAAAGACATCTAACTCTCTCTGGAATCTCTGCCAACAGGTGTTCTTTCTCCAGGCCTGCTTTCCACCTTAATTTTCATTATCCACCTATTTGACGTCAGGATGGCAGTTCAGTATGAAGCCTTCTCTGTTATTTGTTATATGATGATTATGTATGAAAATCTACCTCATCAAACATCGATAGGGATTAAATGAGATAATGTAGTTTAAAAGACTTCATAAATTGGGAAGTGCTTTATATAATTGGCAGCTATTATTATTATTACTATTGTTAAAATAATCATCATAATTATTATTCCCACGGATGTTCTACTATTAGCCCGAGGTCATGCTGAAAGCGCAGATGCAGATTCGCCCTCCCCAACGTGAAGCTCACGGCAGCACTTACAACATTTCAAAGATTCATGCTCTTGGCTGTAAAATTCTCCTGCATCAAGGTATCTTGTTCTGTGTTCAAACTTCCGGGATGACTGCCAAGTTATTGCCTGGACCCGGCTCCACCGATACCACAGCTCCTTCTTGGGTACACCAGTGTGAGCTGCATTTGCCAAGTTTTTCCAAAAGCACAGTTAGCATTTATTTTGTTTAATTCTTACATTATGGTCCAGCCTCCTCCTAAATGCATTTGTTTGCAAAAAGAGCCACGAGGGGAAGTTCAGCCCACAAATAAGAATATAATTATTACATAGTTTAGCAGTGCCTGGGCGTCACCCGGGTATTCACCAGTACTCAGGAATTCAATTGTCTCTCCTTCAAGACCCTATTTAATAGGATAAACAATTTCTGCTAAATGCAATAAACGTGAACCTGGGCTGTCATCTCCATAATCAACTCAAATTTCACATTAGAAGCAGTGGCTGTGATTGAGATTCAGAATTTAATTTGGCGGCGCTCGCTTCAGTGTGCCTGCGTTGGCTTCATGGGAGCCCCCGGTCAACCAAAGATAGACCGCTCTTCCCTGTCTCTGGGGAATCTTAAAAGAAGATAGATTATAACTCTAGAAAATTATACGACCTCGGTATAATGAAAGAGATAAAACATTATTGGATTAGTCTGTTGAAATAACAGCAGACGGCAAAGCAATAATATTAAGCCAAACAAGCGTACAGAAGCATTGCACTTGGTGCAAGATTGTCTGGGAAGTAAGCAGTCAACCCCCACCTCTGGTTGCTCCATTGACTCAATTCCAGATACCTGGTGAAGACAGATTGGTGGGTGAGGGGATCAATTCTTTGGTATGGATGTGCTAAGGGCTTAGGCACCCAAACTTAGCCAAACAGTAAACATGAAGCATATGATTGGGCTGAAAACAAATTGGTGAAAACTAATTTGTTGTTATTAAGTGCCATCAAGTTGGTTCTGATTCATAGCCACCCTGTGTAGGGCTTCCAAAGAGCAACTGGTGGGTTTGAGCCACCAACATGGTGGTTAACAGTCCAGTGCTTATCCTACAGTGCCACACCAGGATGAACCAATTCATCCTCAGCTAAACGCTTTTTTTGTTCACCAACGATTTTAACAAACTCCTTGTACTTTCCGAAAGCAAGTGCCCAAGAACAAAGAAAATCTTAAGGGATGCTGTAATATGAAAAAGAAATGAAGCTCGAATGATCCATTGACTCCATCAGTTTTAAGTAACATAGAGGTAAGCAACTGTAGTCTCTTCTCCAAAATAGTATTTGTGCAAAAATATAAGTATGCAGAGTAGAATTTACCAACAATTTTGTGTGAGAGAAGAGGGAGATGAGAGAGAGGAGGAACAGGGTTTTGGTTCTATACCCCATAACCATCAACTTAAAATTCTTCTTGCAGTGTTTCCTTGTCTACTTTCTTGGCATCTATCTATCTATCTATCTATCTATCTATCTATCTATCTATCTATCTATCTATCTATCATAAACACACCATTTCAGTTCTGCTTCAGAACTCCTGTTTCTGCCTGCCTACTCTTACTCTTCCAAGTGGTCAGCAACAAAGTACCTTTCAAGTGCAGACAGGGCCCATGTTCCTCAAAGGGCCAAGGAAGGAGATTTCTCAATAACACATACATGCATACACACACTCCTACACACTCATGATACATCTCTCTAGTCTCTAACACATATACACATACTCACACACACTCTCTCTTCACACACACAAACAATACATTCCTATACACTACTACACATTTATACATACATCACACATACTCATTCACACAGTGTCTAGTATATTTTATTTCATACAAAATATTTTGTTAATCAGATCCCCTTTCATGGAGAAGTAGATGATCTTGGTTAAGAGTTTAAAACTCTAGTGCCTCACAGCCCACGTTTGTAGCTCATCTCTGCCCCTTCCTGTGCAACCTTGAACAAGTCCCTCAACTGTTCGAAGTCTCATGTTTTCTAACTATTTGATAAGATTAATAATGGAATCTACCTGGTACCAGGGTCATGAGAATGGAATGAATTAATGCACTTAGCATGTTAACTAGCATAGTGTCATTCAATAACTAATAGCTGTCATGACTACTGAATCAGACTATGAGCTTGTCAAAGGAGGAAACAACTTAGTATCTGTTCATTAATTCATTATTACACACCTACTGTGTACCAGTGCCAGATACTGGGAGATAGTGAGACTTCAGTGCAACAACTCTCAACACTGTTCTGACTGTTAGAAAATATTAGAAAAGAAAATTGTCAAGCTGAACAAAGTAAGAATTCAAAGATGCTTAAGTCCTTAAAGAACTTATCATTTTAACCTACTATTTATTCAACTCAACATGCAGCCTACAAATTATCATTTTTATTTTGAACTCCCTAAATGGCACCTCCTTCTGCCTTGGACAGGTCCTGGGTTGGGAGCTGGTGTGGGTGTGAGCTGAGTCCGAGTTTCCACAGGTCCAGAGATCTCCCTGTGTGCAGCCCGCGGCTAAGTCATCTGCCAGAAACTCTTTTCTAACAGTTACGCCTTTCTGAATCAGGGCCCAAGCAGAGGCTGCCTCCATTTTGAGGAGGTGGATTGTTGCACTGCCTTTGTCTTGTTTTCTGTCCCCCAGAGCACGAAGACCATTCTGACCAACAATTCCACTTCCCATCAATGACAACATCTACAAAAAAAAAAGTCAACAAATATTAATTAGTTCTTACTATACATTGGTGTCCTATTGGCTATGGTGGGGGCATATAATAATTATTATTCAGACTTTGAAAGTCTGTATCTCTGATCTCACTCTACTCAACTGTCCTTCTTAGAGGCTGAGGTATTTGACAAACTCCTTCTCACCATGGGGCCTTTGCACATGCTGTTCCCCTTGCCCAGAGCTCTCTTCTTCTCTTTCTTTATTTAGTCAATGCTTACTCATCCTTCAGATCTCATGCTGAGTGTTCTTTTCTCAGGGAAATCTTCCTTGACACCCCTCTACTTCAACACCCCCTATTTTAAGTTCTCAGAGTATTTTGTAGCAGTTACAATTGAACATTTAAATTTAATTCTGATCTTCCTTTCCAAAGAGCAATCTCTTGTGATGACATCATTTGCTCACAATTGGACTTCAGTACCTAGGCTGGAAATTAGGTGGCCCTCAGTACATTTTATTGAATAGATAAATAAGTGTATGGTTTCTAGCTCACATACTTTCCAGGTATGAGATGCTACATATTTACTTAACTGTGTCTCAACCGATCAAATGTGACTAATGTTATCTACCATGAATGCTATGTGTCCTAAATGATACAACAGACACTGGTGGTTCTTACCAGCTCTGAAACTTGCCTTTCAATTGAGGACTTTTTAAAAAAATAAAATTGAACAAAGAATTAATTACTGGCACCATGATTTATTATTTATTTTGTTGAACAAGTAACTCCCAGTGTAAGTCTGGGTAAATTATTTCATATTTATGTACCCCTCTTGCTCCTCATTTATAAAATGAAAGAGCTGAAGTAGTTGGTTCCTAAGATCTCTTCCAAATATGAGGAATGGTTGTTTGGTTGCACACTCACTGGGTGTGTGTTTGGGACCTAGTTGTGGTGTATGCAGAGAGAAAATGAGGATAATGCTGAGCATGTGGATAGACAGGTGGCATGTGCAGGCATTAGTAGCAAAGGTCACGAAGTCAGAGCCACTTGACCTGAATTTAGGTCTTGCACTTACTAACTGTGTGATCACTGGGCAAGCTAATTAGCAACACACTGAATCTGTTTTCTCATCTGTAAAATAGGATCACCAATGAGCATTAGCTCATGAGACTGTCGTGAGGACTAAAGGATTTTATATATATATACATATATTTAAGTAATCAATGTTTATTTTCCTTTTACAATGTCAGCCACTATTATAAGTGTTTTATGTCTCTTTATAACCTATGAAAATTCTCTGAGATAGTTAATACTATTCTGATTATCTTCATTTACAGATGACCAAAAAGATTAAGTAACATGCTCAAGGTTGCAAGTAATAAATGCTAGAGAGGGAATGTGAATCCAGGTGGAATCCAAACACAAATCAAGGTGCCTGATGCAGAGAAAGTACCAATAATGTTTTCTTTCTTTCTTTCTTTTTTTTTTTTAGATGTTCCAGTCTTCCATTTTGAATACAGTCACAAAAAAATTACAGAAAGGAATAAGTCTATTGGTTGTGGAGAACTCATATAATATAGTAGCCAACGAATTTGAGAGTTGGAAAGGATCTTAGTGGATCTTGCATTTATTAGTTGAACACATATCACTGATCAGCAGCTGTGTGCCAGGTCCTGAACAACAAAGGTGAATTGGACATGATCTCTCTTCATAGTTGCAGGGGAAACAGGCTCACCCATAATCTGAACTACAACATGCTAAAAGCCATAATTGATTATGCTTAAAGTCCTGTGGGAGCCTGCAAAATAATTAACAAATTCTACTGAGAGACTTAGAGAACTTTTTACAGTGGAGGGGGCATCTGGGTGGGGTTTTGAGGACTGAGTAGGAGTTCACTAGGCAGAAAAATTGGGTATGCATTCTGAAGAGATCTGAGCAGATGACTTGCAAATGTCATGCATTGGTTACTCTGTCACCTGAGGACTCCCAGCTGCAAGCACAATGAGATATAAAATGAGCCCGATGAATCCCAACTTCATGATATTCTGTCCCCTACTTTACACCCCAAACTTATTTTTATTCTTTGGAATTATTCTCTGAACATTCCCATATTTCTTTTTTCTATCCAACTCTCAGATTCCTTACTCTTTCGAGAGGTGACCTCACAGGCTGGGCCTCGGAACCCAACGGGACAGATGCAGTCACAGCGTGATCCTGTGAAGACAATGCAGAGAGGGTATGAAGCAAGGACTCCCAGAGCTTAACCCTCCACAGCACTGCACTTCCATTAAGTTACAGGGCAAACTTTTACTTGAATACTTCACAGTAAGCAGGTTCAGTGCCAAGAATATCTACTTCTTTTGTGTACTGGACAGTACTTGTCCTAAGAGTATTGCTGGCCCATCAGAACAGGAGTGTATAATCCAGAACCCAATTGTCCTGCCCATTGTAGTGACCATGGACAAAACCCATGAAGTTAGCCACCAAGTTCTAGTGACATTTCCCGGGATTAGTCTGTTCATGTATCAGTCAGGGCATACACAAAGGATTTCTTCTTTGATCAACAGAAAGTTCTCAGGTCTATCATCCCTGGGAACTTTCTGTTGATCAAAGAAGAAATCCTTCGTGTGGGCCACACTGTGTCAGTCTACGGGTCTTAAGTTTAATGCAACTATCACTCACTCTGTCACTTGGAGCTGGAAGCTAGGTGTCCTATTGTCAGAGTGATCTGTCCTGGTTACCTACTTTCAGACTTCTTAGGAACAGTTGTTGTTGTTAAGTGTCATCGAGTCAGTTCTGACACAAAGTGACCCTGCATAGTGTTTCTGAGGAGCAGCTGGTGAGTTTGAACTGCTGACCTTGCAGTTCAAACTGACTTTGTGGTCCAGTGCATTATCCTATAGCGACACACAAGGACTCCTCTTGGGAAATGTTGGTAAGTGCCATCTAGTCAGTTTTAACTCACAGCAACCCAGTATAGGGTTTCCAAGGAGTGGCTGGTGAGTTTGAACTGCCTGCCTTTTGGTTCAAACTGACCTTATCTCTCTTGGGAAATAGGAGTAGGCAAACAGCTGGCTGCAGAGCCTCCTCAAGATGGTGGCTTTCATTAGGGACACCAGCTATCAGGCAATGGTACCTTTCAGGACAGGGATCCCATTCCCTTGGCAGGGAGCACACTGGCAGGAGCTGACTTCTTTCTGGAACTCTTCCAGGGCCTGCTTCATATTCTGCTTCACTGTGCTAGAATACGCAAAGTCTGTGGCTGTCACCAGTTCATACAGAGGCTCCACCTGGAAATGGAAGAAGGAGATTTTTTCTTTCCATTTTTTTTTTTTTCAGGTAGTGAGCTATCATAATTTATTACCAAACAATTTACATTGATCATTATTGTACAAAACAAAATAAGATAAAAGCAAAATGTGCATAAATTGTTGAATGGAAAACTAATTTGTTCTGCAAAATTTTATCCAAACCACAATCCATTAATCAGTCAAGAAGTAAACAAACGAATGAATGAATGAATAAACTAAACCTCAAGATATTGTTGTTTGATGCCATGTTGAACTAATAGTGACCCTATGTACAACAAAACGAAACACTGTCCTGTCCTACACATCCTACAAAAGGTAAGATTTGACCAGGTAGTGTTTCGTTCTATTGTACATAGGGTTAACCACAAAGTGGATGGTTCAAACCCGACAGTCACTCTTCAGAAACCTTACACAGGGTGTTTCTGTATAAGCTGGAACCACCTCGATGGTTAGTAACAACAGTGCACAGAGACCACAGTGGGTTCATACAGAACGGGATGGATGTTACAGCATGTGAATGGTTGCCCACCCAAATGCCTATACTTGGCCATACAGGTACCCCATCCTGTCTCTGCCTCCCTCAAAATATGTGTTGGAACAGACTGGAAGGCAATGAACACCACCAACAGCAGCATAGCTGTGGACAGGATCCTATTTGGAAATAGGGTTCTCTTTATGTCAATGAAACCATATCCATGTAGGGTGTGTTCTACCCCTTATCTCTTCTGAATTATAAACAGCAGGGAAGACACACGGAAACAAGAAAACATAAATAAGGGAAGACAGATGTCATGTGAAGATCATCGAGGGCCAAGGACTGCTGGAAGAGACAAAGGCCTTACCCCAGGGCCAGCAGAGGGAGAGCCTTCTGCTAGAGTCAGTGCCCTGAATAAGGGCATCCAGCCTCTTAAACTGTGAGAAAATAAATTTCTGTTATTTAAAGTCACCCACTTACAGTATTTCTGTTTCAGGAGCACTACGAAACCAAGACATTCATCCCAACACACACAAATACATTCATTCAGGTTCAGCTCAGCAAGCACTTACTCAACACAGCTAACCAGTCCATTCAGAACAATACACATATAGTTTCTAAGACTGTAAATCTTTATGAGAGAAGGCAGCCTCATCTTTCTCCCACAGAGTGGCTGGTGGGTTTGAGCCATTAACCTTGTGGTTAGCAAGATATGGCCATTGTTCAGAAGGAGATGTCATAGGCCAATGTGGTGCCATTGCGGGTTAGGGAAAAATCAGAAGGCAAATTTAAAGAGATCCATATTGGTTCTAGTTTCAGTCCAGGGCCAGGTTCCTGTCCAGATTTTGTTTGTGATCCTGTCCTAATCCAGCCCTGGAGAGTTTAGGCTCTGTCTAAATGCAGGCAATCATGCCTAATAGAAGTCTCCGGTGGGAAGAAAATTGCTTCTATTTCTTAATGCATCTGATGCTGACCTTCGCTTTAGTTGGTAAAGCAAGGCCCCTTGATGGTCCCATTGTCTCACTGGTTTGTGGTCAATGAATTGATCCAGAGACTGTTTGCAGAACCATTCAGCCCTGCTGGCTACACATGGGGAAGGAGGGAATGAGTGGCATACGGGAGGAGGTAACAGGAAGACTAGCTTTACACCATTGAGGAGTTCCTGGAACAGTCTGCTTACTTTCACTGGACATCTTGAAAGGCTACCTTTAACCACCGAGGCATTTTCCTACCACCACTGGGATTTACTCATGGAGATGGAACAAGTCAGTGGCAGAAATGGAACAAATTTTCCACATCTACTATTTACTGTGTGATGTGAGCTGTGTTGGGGATTCCAAACATCATTTAACTTCAACTTCATAGGTCTCTGGAACAGAACCAATGGTCAAAAATGCTCAGTTCTGAAAGTTTGGTAGTTCAAAACTATCCAGAGGTCCCTGGGGATCTACTTCTTAAAGATCATGGTGTTTTGTTGTTGTTATTGACTCACAGTGACCCTGGGGTAGGATTTTCAAAAGTGGCTGGTAGGTGTGAACTGCTTGCCTTGTGGTTACCCATCCAGTGCTTATCCTACAGCACAACACCAGGTCTCCAAACTATTGAAAACCCTGTGGAGCACAATCCTGCTTTGACATACAGGATTGCCAGGAGTCAGAATCAACTCAATGGTCATTGGTGTATTCTGTTCGTCCTCATCGGGTAACACTTATTTATTCCATTGTCAGAAAAAGTTAGGAACTGGATCAAAGTCATGCAATGTAACTGCAAAAATTGCATCACCAGGATTCTAACTCAAAGTATGGACTTTTCCTACTGGTGTAGCATTCATCATTAAATAGAATATTTCAAGATCTATCTTGAGGTACTATGTTGTCTGTACTAGGATAATACCCATACGCTTACAAGGAAGACCAGTTACTACCACTATAATTCAAATTTATGCACCAACCACTAAAACTAATGATGATGAAATTGAATAATTCTACCATCTTTTTCAGTCTGCAGTTGATCAAACATATAATCAAAATGTATTGATAATTATTGGTGATTAGAATGCAAAGGATGGAAAATATGGCCTGGGTGATAGAAATGACCCCATGATAGAATTTTGCCAGACCAATGACTTCTTCATTGCAAAGACTTTTTGAAACAACATGAAGGGCACATGGACCTCACCAGATGAAATACAGAGAAATCATATTTAAGGCATTTGTGTGAAGAGATAGTGGAAAACCTCCATATCACTCACCAGTCAAAACAAGACTAGGGGCAGACTGTGGAAAGGACCATCAATTGCTCATATGCAAGTTCACAGTGAAGCTGAAGAAAATGAAAACAGGTCCATGAGAGTCATAAAATGCCCTTGAACATATGCCATCTGAATTTAGAGATCATCTCAATAACAGATTTGATGAATTAGACACTAATGACTGAATGTGAGATTTTTGGCATGGATCAAGAACATCATACAGGAAGAAAGCAAGCAGTCATTAAGAAGACAAGAAAAAAGGAAAAGACCAAAATGGATGTCAGAGAGACTCTGAAACTTGCCACCCAGCATAGAGATGCTAAAGCAAATGAAAGAAATGAAGAGGTAAAAGAGCTGAGTAGACAATTTCAAAGGGCAGCTTGAGAAGATAAAGTCCAATATTATAATGAAATGTACAAAGATCTTGTAGTTAGAAAACCAAAAGGAAAAAACATGCTTAGCATATCTCAAGTTCTGGGAGCTGAAGAATTCAAGCTCAACTTGCAATACTGATGGATCTATAGGCAAAATATTGAATAATATAGGAAGCATTGAAAGAAGATGGAATGAATACACAGAGTCACTGTACCAAAAAGAAATGGTCGATGTTCAACCATATCATGAGGTAGCATATGATCAAGTACTGAAGGAAGAAGTCCAAGGTGCACTGACGGCATTGGCAAAGAACAAGCCACCAGGAATGGATAGAATACAAATTGAAATCTTTTAACAAATTCATGCAGCACTGGAGGCACTTATTCATCTATGCCAGGAAATTTGGAAGAGTGCTACCTGGACAACTGATTGGAAGAGACCCTTATCTGTGCTCATTCTGAAGAGAATGGACCCAACAAAATGTATAACTCATTGGACATGATCATCAATACCTCATGCAAGTAAAATTTTGCTAAAAATAATTTTTAAACAGCTGCAGCAGTAAATTGACAGAACTTCCAAATGTTTAAGGCAGATTTAGATGAGGATGTGGAACAAGGGATATAATTGCTGACATCAGATGAATCTTGGCTGAAAGCAGAGAATACCAGAAAGATCTTTACTGGTGCTTTATTGACTACACAAAGGCTTTCGTTTTTATGGAACATGGCAAGCTATGGACAACATTGCAGAGAATGAGTATTCTAGAACACTTAATTGTGCTCATAAGGAACCTGTACACAGACCAAGAGGCCATCAGAAGGACAAAGGAACACTAAATGGTTTAATATTACTACAGGTGTGCACCTGGGTTGTGTTGTTTCACCATACTTATTCAAACTGTATGCTAAGCAAATAATTCGAAAAGCAGGATTATATGAAGAAAAATGTGTCATTAGGATTGGAGGAAGACTCGTTAATAGCCTATGTTATGCAAATGATATAACCTTGTTTGCTGAAAGTGAAGAGAACTTAAAATACTTACTGATGAAGATTAAAGACCACAGCCTAAGTGTGACCTAATATGGGTTGCACTTCAATGTAAAGAAAACAAGAATTCTTACCATTGGACCAATAAATGGTATTGAGATAAATGGAGAAAAGATTGAACTTATCAAAGACTTCATTTTGCTCAGATCAACCACTAACACTCATCAACGCAGCAGTCAAGAAATCAAATGATGTATTGCATTAGGCAAATTTGCTGCACAAGACCTGTGTTCAAGAGCAAAGATATCAATTTAAGGACTAAGGTCCGCCTGACCCAAGCAATGGTATTTTCAATAAGCTCTTCAATAAGCATGTGAGAGTTGGACAATGAATAAAGAAGACCATAGAAGAATTGATGCATTTGAGTTATGGTATTGGAGGAGAATATTAAAAGTACTATGGATTGCCAAAAGAACCCAATGTGTGTTGGAAGAAGTACAGTCAGAACGCTCCTTAGAAGTCAGGATGGCAAGATTTTGTCTCTCATACTTCAGACATATCATCAGGAAGGACTAATCCCTGTAAAAGGACATCATGCTTGGTAAAGTAGAGGGTCAATTAAAAAGAAGAAGACTCTCTCAATGAGATGGACTGGCATAGTAATAGTGACAGCAGCAATGGGCTCAAGTCCAGCAATGATTGTGAGGTTGGCACAGGACCGGGCAGTGTTTCCTTCTGTTGTGCATAAAGTTGTGCATGAAGATTACTGATAAAAATGGGATAGTTAATCCCTTGCTCCAAACTCTGTGTCAGAGTTCTCATAACTGCAGACTACAATTTGCCTTGGAACTTTGCAGCAGCTCCTCAGGACTCTACAGCTCCCGTGTA